CGGCACGAGCTGTCTCGTGAACTGGCATCTGCCTCCTAGGAACCACAGTTACGGCGGCGCCACGCATGCGTGGAACGCTTGGTGATATCGGTCTATTGTCTGTCCCGCAACTTCCATCATCCGGTCGGCTAACTCAGCCAGTTCCGCCAGTGTAAGGCTGTGCGCCGCTGCTAGTCCAACTCGGACGGTTGTCGGGAGACGTTTCAGAAATAATTCCCGCAAGATGGCGGCGTCGAGGGATGAAGCTTTGTCACCTAGCAGATGTTAAAGGTGACGTAAGAACTGCGTCGGTCGCCTGTCACCAAGACCTTCTGCGCTCAGGAGTTGTTGCAGGGGGCGCTGTTCCAAGGCGACGAGCCGGTTGACCAGTGCGTTCTTGAGGATGTCGTATGAATTTTCGCCAAGGGGGGGCGAATGGAATGCCCCTCATCCTGGTAGCGGTTTCAGAAGGAATCGCGTCGACGAGCAGTTCGTACTCTTGAACCGACGAGGTTATTCTGTGCAATCTCAACTTGTTTTCGACTTGCACGAACCAAAGGGACGGATCCTGCGCCCAAAACTTGGGCAGAGACAGAACCGCTGTTATTCCGATGACCGGGCGGCAGCTGCATGCTGATGCCTCCGTTTTCATCGCTGGGGTAATCACCTCCGGGTAACCAATTATGTAGATACCAGAAGTAAAGTTTCGCACGTAAATATATTTACAAGTATTTACAAGCGGAATGAGACTAGTTCGGATCGGCCGATGCCGCCGCGTGTTGTTTCACCATTTATGAGAGCGGCAGCGAAATGTTCTTCCATTGATCTCATAAGAAATAAAAGCGCGAAGAAGCTACGCCTTCTCTCTGGCTGCTGCCGAAGAGGATTAATACGAGAGCATTTGGGATTTTCGCACCTCTTCGGAGGTCCAACGAGCTCGGCCCTTTCGGTCTGCCTCAGCACTGTGCAGTTTTCGCGATAATTCGTTTTAGGGGCGAAGCTCCTTAGGGTCTAGTCTTGTCCGGCGTCCGTGCTCACACCGATTGCCATCTCATCTGTCTTCTTAAAAAAAGAAAAAATGTCTGCGCAGTCAACAGGATTCGAACCTGTGCGGGGAGACCCCAATGGATTTCTAGTCCATCGCCTTAACCACTCGGCCACGACTGCGGGACGAGTAGGGGGCTCTGAGATGGGGTAGTAACTCAAGAGCTGGGGATGTCATGGATGAAACGTTGCATGTAGCCGCTCAAAGTCTATACAGGAGATGACGCTGCGGTCAAATGCGTATATAATCGGATTAAACTTTGCATGCATTAGCTCAACGTTTATAGACGAGAGGGCGCTGCGGTCAAATGCTCAAATGCGTATATAACCACGTTTCATACCACACATTCTCTTTCTGACATGGACCGTTGACTTAAGCGGTGGAGATGCGTTCCCACGGCTTCTAGCGGATCCAAGCTGATCCGCTAGAAGAACCACTGGCTCTGCATTCGGCCGACCATAAAGCAGTAATAATGAAGTCGAAACGCAACCCAGAACTCAGCACTACCTATGAGCAATAAAATCAGTATCATCAGCACCACCAGAGCTTCGCCCCAATCAACATCATTCACCACGTGGAGATGCGGTCATTTTTTTAAATGGAAATGGTGGTAATTTGTAAGTCATTTTACATTTTCCTACCATATTTAGCTGGAAACCACTTCCCACTACATTTTGGGCTAAAATCTGTGTAAAACTATACACCAATTTATCTTTTCCAAACAAAACTTAGTGGGAAAACAGTGCCCGCGCTGCTTACAGAGTAGAAATAGAATTGGTGCATAATTATACACCAATTCACGTTTTCCCACTAAATTTATCGGGGCAACGCTACTCGCTAGATATAGAAGACAAATTAAATTGGTGTGTAATTATGCACCAATTTATGTTTTCTCACTGAATTTGGCGGGGAATGGTAGCCGCTACTTGTATTGTCACGGAGAAAGTCGAAGAGACGATGGATTATGAACTAAAAAGAAAGGTTTAATCGGCGAACTTGTGCCAAACAAAATTAAGAACGAACTTTGAGACACCAGAAAAGTGGGTGGCCATTTGGCGGCGTAGCACGAAGCGAGAGCGAGACTGACTCGAGAAGATCACGGGCAGGTCCTTATCTAGTGTGCGTCGGTATCGCGAAAATTCGGCCCAGAAGGTTCGAGCATCGAGTTTCAGGGTGAGGATGAACAGGCACTTTCGAGAACAATAAACTAGGGCGGAATGATAAAAGAACCCCCCCCCCCCCCCCTCCCCCGAGGAAGAATAAACGCGAATATTCTGGAAAACCGTGACCAGGCGCTGTTTGCTCAGCCTTGCGCGCGGCAATATTATGCCGGGGTAAATTTAATTGGTGTGTAAATTTTTTAGGTATACAACAAAATACAAGTTGCGATTACATTTAGCTATCGAGCCGCAACCGACGAACGCACTCACTCTCGTGGTGTGGTGTTCCCAGAGATACTATTGCAGTTAAAATTACAAATGCTGACAGCTAAGAAACTACATATAGTTCGCAACGTGAAACACGAAAAGCGCACAAACTTACGGCATTTGGAAGTCCAAACACCTCCGGTTTGCGGTATCCTCAAATATTTTATCACTCGTTTTAAACTCTCTTCGTTTAGGAGAAACCTTTACAGTTTTACAGGCAAAAGATATCTTTCTCAAATGGGAAATGGTTTCGGATATCTATACCCATGTCGCCGCCAAGCTAGCGAAACACACCGTGTACCTCTAATTTTGGCGTAGGAAAACGTTCGGTTGGCTGAAACCGGTCTGCGATCAACGCTATATTGTCAAAAACGTCGAACGAATGAGGTTTCAGTTCAGCTGAACAGTCTATACAATTTTCACCAATACGAAACTTTAATTCGTTGAACCAGTCGCAGCAGTACTAAGCACGCTTTGGACGGAGGCACTTTGTTTTAAAGGTAATAATGGAACAAAGGATTATTTTAGAGCGCAGCTTTTAGGCGCCCGTTTCCGGCTTGAGCGGCGTCGTCGTCGCTGTCGCCGTCGGCGTCGGCGTAACCGCGACCACCCCCCCCCCCCTCCCCCCGAGGACCTCGGGAGGATCTCGGGTTCCTTCGAGAGGACCTCCGCAGGACCTCCGGTTCCTTCGAGAGGACCTCCGCAGGACCTCCGGTTCCTTCGGCAGGACCTCGAGTTCCTTTGGCAGGACCTCGGGTACGTTCGGTGACCTCGGGGAGGGGGAGGGTCACGTCACCTCCCCCCCCCCCCGAGGTCACGTGACCACCCCCCCAGGTCACGTGAACCCCCCCCCCCCCCCCTCCCCGAGGTCACGTGGCCCCCCTCAGTACCCTTCCCTACTCCTCCTCAAGAGCTGCGCTCTAATTCGGCGTTACTGGGAGTTGTAAACGGCTTTCATTTTTTATATTTGTTTATTTATTTATTTTCATCAAAAGGGGAGACAAGGGAGTGGGGAAAAACTGATGTTACAGCTTCACGGGGCCCACGTTTCCCCTTAAAGATCACAGCTGGAACAGGACATAGTCGACATTAGTGCAAAATTTAATCACATTATCAAATATTTTTGTACAGCATCAGATCTGTTTAAAGCAATACTAAACGCAGCTAATAGGGAAGCTATAATTTTTTACTTCTCACTCAAATATCCACATTTCTGTCATTTAAAAACAATATAACTAGCCACCAGAACCGCTTTAATCTTTTTTTTTTTTTTGAAAATGGGAGAGGAACATTGGAAGTTGAAGTGCTCTTGAATTTTATTTAACAAAAAAATCTTTGTACTGGAATTGTTACTTGCCGCATCCGGTTCTGGTTTCTTCTGCTTTCAGTGTGTGCGTGTGCGTGTGCGTGTGCGTGTGCGTGTGCGTGTGCGTGTGCGTGTGTGCGTGTGCGTGTGTGCGTGTGTGCGTGTGTGCGTGTGTGCGTGTGTGCGTGTGTGCGCGTGTGTGCGTGTGTGCGTGTGCGTGTGTGCGTGTGCGTGTGCGTGTGCGTGTGCGTGTGCGTGTGCGTGTGTGCGTGTGCGTGTGTGCGCGTGCGTGTGTGCGTGTGTGCGCGTGCGTGTGTGCGCGTGCGTGTGCGCGCGTGCGTGTGCGCGCGTGCGTGTGCGCGCGTGCGTGTGCGTGCGTGCGTGTGTGCGTGCGTGCGTGTGTGCGTGCGTGCGTGCGTGCGCGTGCGTGCGCGCGTGCGTGCGTGCGCGTGCGCGTGCGCGTGCGCGTGCGCGTGCGCGTGCGTGCGTGCGTGCGTGCGTGCGTGCGTGCGTGCGTGCGTGCGTGTGTGTGTGTGTGTGTGTGTGTGTGTGTGTGTTTTATTTTGTGTTTGATGTGAACAAAGACTTTATTGGTTTAGGTGCAGTTTTACCTTGTATATCAGCTAGAGCAATTTAAAGTAATACATTTTGTTAGCCGTGGATATAGTGTAGTCGTCAAACAATGAGTCTGTGCAAAGGTCCCGCGGGTTCCCCTGATAGCGATCAAAAATCCGAAGTATCCTTTTCTTAACTACTATTATTTGGTTGTCATCTTGGTTGTGTAGCCCACACTAAAATGCCATATGACATTCTAAAATAGCATAAAAAAATAAAAAAAGTATTTTATTTAAGCTGGAAGTAGTTTGTGAATTTTTTATATGCATTATATGGCTTCTCATAATTCAAAGCAGATAGGGTTTGTGTGTATCCGTCGACCAGTTAGACCCTTCATTAAAACAAATGCCTAAGAATTTTTTCTCCTTGATCCTTCCTAAAGAAACTCAATCAAAGTTAACAAGTATGTATTACAACGTCAGCAATACACAGTAAGTAAATTTCAAGCCCAATGAGATACAATGGCTTCCTTAAATTCGAAAACAGCGCGTTCTAGCCGCTCAAAGTATCGCGTTCATTAGTGCGACGACTGCATTCATTCCACAATAAAAGAAACAGGAAGTCGTGCGGCTGGTCCAAACTGGAGTTGAAAGAGCGCTGTCCTAAGACCCTATCAGCGCGATAGCAACAGGACACTACGCAGTTGCGTTATCAGTTCAAATGCGCCCGCACTTTCCAAGTGAACGCGTCTCTGACGACACAACGCTTGCTCGCCTGTCTGCTTTTCCATCACGGTAAGGGATTTTATTATTGCCTTTTGAGCACTTCTCTTTGTAACGTAAGGTATGATGTACAGATCTTTGTTTTAATTTTTAATGGCCACTCTGAGGCAATCACTGATCAAACAGTTAGAAGTTACAAAAGAACTGGAGAATGCTCCTGCACAGTTGGAAATTTGGAACTGTTTAGAATAATCGCCCTTGTAAAATTTTATATAATGTAAGTATTCTACAAAACAAAATTAAAAAACGTAACAACTCCGATCAAATCCGCGATAAAGTTTTACTTTATGAAATACTTTATAGGTAACTAAAAGAAGTAAAAGAACGCATGAAAAAAAGTATCCTGCACTGAAATAATGTACGTTCTTAGAAAGCGCAACAGTTGTCTTAATATGTAAAGTTTTTGGCGCAAGGTGGAACACATTTGTACGTCATTAGCGGTGCGAAGCTTTAAGTCGCGTAAACAAGCCGAAGATTGCGTCATCCTATGATCGAACGCAAACGCTCAGTCGGTCGTCGAGTATGGAAACTCACGGGCCATTAAGGATATGTTAAAACATTGTGTTTAATGGTCGTTCGCGATACCATTACGGCTGAGCATGTTTCAGTGTTTTTTAATCATGGCTATCGCTTGTATACTCAAGTCTTGTAGACTTGAGGAATCAAGACAATGCTATTGCTTGTAGACTCAAGTTATTGAGTCATTTTGTCACTGACTCATTTCGTCATCAAGCTTTTTTCAAACAGTTATTCGTAAACAATTTTTGACCGCAGATACTCTCAAGAGAGCGAGTAACTGGAAGCAAATTCTGAATAACATGCTAGAGTCGATTTACCTCCCTATCACTTCTAACACACTCATATCAAGAGGTGTCGTAAAACAAAGAGGCATTGTGTTCCTTCCACCACTTTTCTGTAAAAATATCTGTCGGAGTTAGTTCGGTCAATGATAAGAACAGTTGTACAATTCTATCAGAAATGTACGTGAACATTAACACTCAATAGCAAAGACATTTGTGTTAATTGTGTTATCTTACATCTTGGGGGAGTATTTGAAATATTTAATTAAATAACTTTGAGTGCATATAAAATACGTCTCAAAAATAAACATAATAACATTTGCCTCGCCTCAGTAAACAACGTAACCCGAGTGACGTCATGCGCTCGCTGTTTTGTATGGATTGCAGTGATATCTTTATCCGCGAGGAATCTTAGAAAGGTAGCTCTGTACCTCACACTTGGCTAAGCATTATCTATACTGATTGCCTCTTTACTTCTAAACGCAGGGTTCAAACGCTAAAGTGGTCGCGGACTACTAACCTCAAGCTACGCCATGGTGCAGGCCAAAATTCTCACCGGGTTTTCGAGCTTTCTTGACTGGAAATCGCTCGAGTTCCAGAAGCCACTACCAAAGGTCATGATTTGCAGCCTCTGCGGGGTGGCGTCAAGGTCGACCGTGCTCGCGGACTGCGAGCACACCTTCTGCAAGGAATGCTACGTGTACCGAGTACTGGACCAGGGACACCCTCGGTGTCCTTTCCATCAGAAGGACATTGACCTGGACAACGTCCAGACCTTTGTCTTTACCGAACGCGACGCTAACAACAATCCAGTTCGCTGTCTCAATGCTCATAACGGCTGCGGATACTTGGGGCCGCTGTGCAGTCTTGAAGACCATTACCTCAAGGATTGCAACTTCCACAAAGTCACCTGCATCTCGTGCAAGCTTCCTGTCCTCCGCATGGAGATGTTAGATCACATCGCAAACCGATGTCCCTTCCTTGAAGTCGATGCTCATTCCTCCGTTAGCCACGAAAGGGATACGGCCGAAGACCACAGCACTGTGACTGCGGCAAGCGCCATCGCCCTGACGAACGTTCTCAAGTGCGCTGTCGAGGACAACACGAATCTTCTGCTGGAGTCCATGGAACAATGCACGAAGGCCCTTAAGTTGACCGAGGGCTTGACGAGTAACCTGATGACCTCTGTTCAACGTGGCAACCAAGTAGCTAGAAACACTAACAACATGTTGACTACGTTTGTAGAAGACCGTGCCCGCCGCGAAGAGGTAGAGGCCATGGAAGCCACGATCCCGTTCTTCAGGATCGACGGAATCTTCTTGTCCAACGGCTCATGGAAGCACATCTTTGTCTTCGATGATGTTGCTCAAAGAATAAGGGCTACTTCAAGAAGCCTTACCTTCTTAGCAAAGACTCCTTTCGCTCAAGTCTTGGTCAATGGAAGTGCAGTTCGCATGCGCCTGGATTACGACGCTTCAGGCTACCTATTCAGCGTTATGTTTGAAGGGCCTTATCGGGGCCAGCAACCACCAACGGGAATGTATTTTTACATGGTCAACCAAAAGCAGTTCTACGATTCTTTGATACTCTGGCCTGAAGCCTGGGACATCAGGCAAGACGAGTGGGTTGCACTAAGTTACAAAAGAAAGATGCGCTTTGGCAACTCGTATCTGGAAGCAAACGACCTCCTTCTCCATGATAAGATCATATTCATTCTAAATGTACTCTAGATTAGCGGTGTCCCTCACCAGGGGACAAAAGTCTGACCTGGAAATACAGTGTGCTTGTTTGACAATCCACTTGAAGAAGACACCACAGCTTTGCACTTCTCCAGGACCGGATCGAAGCCAGCCCTTGCACATCGCTCTTGAATTGTCACCTCAAATTCACCGTATATCTTGCTATAGAATACAAGCCTTGCTTTTGAAATTGTGAGCTCCTTTTTTTTATATCACTTTGAGAGTGCAAAAAAACTTTTTTGACAGTCACCATATTCTTTTTATCTTCGTAAGTGCAGACTAAACAAACGCGCTCCTATTTTTTTCATGGTGAAATATAATACATATTTTTCAAATTTACATCCGTTTACTTCAGTAACTTTTCTTCTTGATATTTTTAAATAAAAAAATAAGTATTGTTTGAGGAAAGGGCAACATGTAAGAAAGGATTTAAAGGTTCAAGTGTTTACGAAATTATTTAATAAGTCGGGTTGCCAGGCAAGTTTAGCCAGGCTTAAATAATCATTAGGTGTCGAAGAAGTATTTTTCTGACCCAGACTATAAATTCAATGCTTTTTTTCGCAACCTCCACCCCTCCTCTTCCTTGATAAATCGAAGCATAATATTAATTTTTAAGTAGCCGCTAACAACCTTCAGACCTACGACCAACCACTTGTGATCCCTCCCGAAAATTACGTTTAGTCACTCAGTCAGTCAGTCAATACAACTGTATTGGTGCCCGAGAAAGGGATTAGGAAGTGGTGAAGAGCTCACTAAGGGTCCCCTCCCAGCCCGAGCCCCAGCCCCAGCCCCAGCCCCAGCCCCCCCAGCCCCAGCCCCCCCAGCCCCAGCCCCCCCAGCCCCCCCCCCCCCCCCCCCCCCCCTCTGAGGACGGCCAGTATCCCCTGGACCCCGGCAGCGTCTTCGGTCAGTCGGACTAAGTTTTCGTAAACCCGAGGGTCCGAGCTGAGCAGAGTGGTCTCCCAACTCTTCATCTCTGAGCTGCGTGCTGAGCTGAAATCCTGAGAAATCTGGAGAAATGCCCATTATCAATCTGAAATTCCTGTTATCGATTGCCTGTAAACAAAGTTCTCTTCATTTGTATGGAGCAAGGCGTTACCCTTTTTTGATAACTTTTTTGCGTTTGATGACTATTGTTCTGCACACGTGCATTCCCACGTTTTCTAAGCTCAATTTGGGAACCAAAATTGGTTTGGTGGATTTAAGCACATATCTAGCATGCACACGGTATGACATCTACAAATACAAAACACACAATTAACGCTTTCTAGTTAATATGTTTCTTAAAAAAACTGAAAAAAATTGCACAAAGCCAACACACGTACGAAACCGGCACACATTTATAATAAACTTCTGGAACACAACACTGTCATTGATTTCACTTAAACAAAACTTCACTGAACGTCAGTTATTTCCTTTGCTCCCTCCCTATTTTTCTCTCTATCTCTCTTTCTTTTTTTTTAACTCATTAGAACATTTATTACATATCGATTTTCTAAGCGCAGAAGCTAAAACCGTCCGCCATTATTGGAATAACCGAACCCCTATTGGCGGATTTTGGCAACTCGTTTTATCAGACGATATGCGCTATGCGCAGAAGCCTCCTTCAAAAACTGCGCATGTGTTGTAAGCGTGTCTCACCGATGGTACTAAGATTAATTATCAGCAGCATTAGTCGCCAAGAGGACCATTTAGATATCACGTTCAATCGGCTAAGTTCCGACATTTCAAAAAACGATGTCCCCCCCCCCCCCCTTCGTCGACTCCAGATCCAATCACCAGCTTCTTCGCAACGCAACCGGCGTATGTCATTGCCTTTCAGATATGACGAACCCGGTGTAACTCGCAAGGACCGCTCGGTGTTGGGAAAGGTAGCGCTTTCCTTCGTTGGTGGTCAAAGTGGCAAATATTTCATAACGTTCACAGCATCATTGCATTCATCGTCGAGGGAACAGCAGACCGAAGTGCTCTTCGCACTCGGAAGATAATTTTGACGCTGCAGCGGACCACATGGGCGATAAATCAGCGAAAATGAATAATACAAATATAATAATCATGCTTCATTTTGTTTTAGTGGCCACAGATAGCTATGAAGCCTTTTGTGCGGCGCACTTGTCAGCTCGTGCTTAATGCAACAACATTTAAAATGTACAAAAACATATGAAAGGAGATGAATACAAGTTTGCGAGGCAAATACAACTCGCAATTGTGTACTCAATAGTAGACAATAGCGAGGGTAATCACTAAGTGGTACAAAATGTCTGAGAATTCCGTTACCGTTAACGCAGCTCTCCGACGCCAACTGTATAAGCACTTATTAAACCTCGCATGAACGGTCAGTGCCTCGCAGTTGTAGCAACGCTAAAAATATCCAAGAGACAGCATTCTGAAACGTTCCATAGTCACGCGAGGAGGTCGGGTCAAAAGCAAGTTTTACGTTTAAGTACCGTCATTGTGAGAACCCTTAAACACTTAGCAGGAGAGAGCGTTGTAAAAAATTTCGAGGCATCTTGATAGATCATGCATCAGTGCTGCGCCGCCATTCATAAAGGGCTGTTTGGAGTGCACGTTCATCGTGCAGCGGCGTATTCGTGGCTATTTGTAAGAGACGATACAAAACTGGTCAGTTGCCATCCTACGCAATGGTCGTTATACGGTTTTGGTAGTCAATTTCAGACAGCGGTGAATGTACTACTTGCAGACAATATGGCTGAAACAATTCTCCATGTTACTTTGAAGCATCCTGCCAGATCTTTTTTGGGTGCTCTGATCTGAATTATAAATTGAATGCGAAGTTGAGCTCTCGTAGTTCGGGCTATTTGACAAATTGAAAAATATCAGAGCTTGTAAGGACCCCGGGAGTGGTGCACATCTTTTATATGATGAACGCTATGTTCTGAGAAAGGTACTGTGAACTATATCTTCGATATTGATGTTAATAAAGTAGGTTGTATAAAAAAAAATATTATTTTATAAGCCTGAAAATAAACAGATAAAATCCCTTCAAAATGGAAAATGTCTAATGCTCCCATTTAAAAATGGTGATTTAATGGTGGTGTCTAAATATGAAGGTATATATTGTATAAGTATGATCATATATATTTGCTTAGTATGTGCAGTAATATGTAGGAGCATGTAGTTTTAAAAACAAATATCGCATCTTGAGACACTAATGTTTACCAATGCTCAACATGGTTATCGCCAAAGCGTTTCTGCTGCCATACAACTGAATAAATCACGGCAGAGCTAGCAGCCATACGGCTCGCTCTCTGGGGTATTTGGACAGGCCGCACACAGGCCCTACGCTGGGTCATCCTGAGCGACTCAAGATCAGCCCTCGAGCTGCTATCTAGAATTACAGGCTCGAACGGGCCACGCCCATGGCCCGTTCAATCCCTCAGGATGCGGTCGAGCTTCAGCAGGAAGGCAACGACATTGCCTTCCAATGGCTCCCAAGTCACTGTGGCGTTAGAGGCAATGAAGTCGTTGATTTTCTAGCGGTGCGGACTCACAAGGACCCCGAGTGCCCGCTTTCAACCGTTCCCTGCTTTTCAGACGCCAGCTCCTTGTGAGAAGAGCCATCGCCCTACAGCACCCGGACTCGGTAGTGTTGGCGGGTGCCTTCCCAGCTCGGGTACCGCGTGGCTTCGACAGCCAAACTGTCGCAGTAATGCACAGATTACGGACTGGAAGCGCCTTCACACTGGCGTGGTTAAGTCGCTTCAGACTCAATGTTGACCCCATATGCCAGACCTGCGAGGAAACGGCCGACGCCGAACATCTCCTCCTGCACTGCAGTGATCACGAAGAGGAGCGCACCAGCCATCGTGATGCCTTTTCCCGCTTAGGGCTGCCTAGTACCAACTTGGAGGAACTCCTGCGTCCAAGAGCCTCACGAGCTACTACGGACAAGGCACTCAAGAGTGTATAGTCAGCTTCCTGAGGAGCGCGGAACTCCTCGACATCCTCTAAGACTTACAAGAGTTCTGGGTTGCTTGCGGCTCCTGGGGCTCCTAAAAATCTTACATCCAGAGGTTTTCAGGAGTTCTGGGAGTCGCGATTCCGAACCGAAAGTCGTAGGAAAGTCAACACTCTGAAAAAATGCCCTTCCCTTTCCCCCTCTCTACTCCTCTATCTATTGTTTCCCTTAATTCCCTTTCCCATCGACAGTGACATGTGCGCCCAGAGCGCAACTAATAACAACGTCAATTTCCTAATAAACATCGCTTCAACAACAACAACAACAGCAACTGAATAAATCTGTGCATCAGTTTCCGTTGGTGAATACTGCTCGAGCTTGCACGCACGAACTATGCTCTAAGCAACAGTACCTCACAAGCGTTCAGCAGCATTTCAAATTGAAAAGTAGTTTAAGTGGGCTTCTGTCTTAAAGGGGTCATGAAACGATTTTTCTACTTTTTTTCTCTTTAGCTTTAATCCGCAACTCAAATGCGAATTGGGAAATCACGTCGTCGTGACATTCTTCGGCACCGGTGCGATGACTCCTAGCTTCCATCGTGCTTTATATGCACGCCGCGGACGTATCATAGTAAAAAGGCGGAGAACTTTCGAAGGAAAGAAGGCAGAAAATAGTCCGCTATGTTTTCAAATGTTCGTACCGAAAAGCTGGCTTTTGACTTTCTACCCTCTTTCTTTTGGCCAACGAAACGATATGCGATAAGTAAAATCCCATTTAAAAATCATTTATCCCAGCCCAAAATTCGTTTCATGGCCCCTTAAATAATGGTGATGATTTAAAAAGACTCGAAAGTTGTATGACTATGTCTGCATCAGCCCAATGTTATACTGCATATGCTCTGGCATCACGTACGTAGCATCTCGTGCCATTTTTTTTCTACGTCCTCAGGGTTACTATAGATGATAAACACAAGCAGTCCCTTCCGCCTCAAGCGACCTCCGGTCGCTCTTTTTTATGAAGCGTTTTGAGCTGGATTATTCAAAACTTCCTAGGACCCGTAAGGAACGACAATGCTGGAGATTCAGCAAGGTCCTTCCGATGTATTATTACACATATTCATGTAATCGGCTGTCTTATAAACCTATCCAGAACTCTCCAGTAAATCTATCGCTAGCCGATCCTTTAGCCGAGCAGAATTGGTGGTGAAATATTTCAGGACAACGTCTAGATGGCGTTCCACCGCACTCTATGGAAGACGGGGTTTCGAAAGGAAAATCTAGATTGTGCTTCAAACGACGAAAGGCGGACTGGAGGGAGTGAGAAGGGATACAACCTTCCCTGCGCGGGACTTTCACAATAGGGGTGATCTAATACCTTCGGCCTATAATGAAAGTGACGACATTCAAGATGGAATTTTCCGAGCCCTTCTGCGAGTGTTGTGGTTTTGACAGTTGCTCAGCTGTGTGCCCAAGTTCAATGCCCTGCGTGTGCCACGCTAAGTGATGGGGTAGGGGGAGGTGGGGGAGGTCGACGCTTCGGCACGCATTCGTCTTGCCTTTTGAGATGGCCCCCCAGACAGTCGTTTGATGTGTACTGTCCGGATGAAACATTGAATTTAATTGAAAATTGAAAATGCCCCACCACTGGAAGCAAGAGAGGGACGCGGAGGAAGCTTCGCCCATAGAGTTATGATGTACGCTAGAGGTTTAACTGGCGCTAGTGTCTATGCAACTTACGGGTGTAAATTGAAGCAGACAGAAACCAATCTACTTTTGCGGTGCTCCTGCGCATTCCTGCTGTGCATGCATTCTCCCTTCACCGGAAAATGACATAGATCGCTTATTTTTGTCGTACCGAAGAGTATGTACGTTTATTATCATTGTAAAGTGTAATTGCTTTAGTTACATTATTTGTTCCCCACTGAGCGATGTTAAACTTCGATATATTTCACGCCCTTACCTTTGTTCCATAGCAGGCATGTGAAAACGTGCGACGATTCTAAGCAAAATAACCATCGAAAGGGAGAGTGTTCAAGGTACGCCAGCATCTCGGCAATGCTTATATTTTGCTAATATGCCCGTCCTGTCACTATATAAAAATGACCCCGTCGTGCACCTTAACGAGCGGTTAAAAACATTTACAACTTAAAGAATAAAGTGCGTAGGCTATGAGCAATGCACATACATGTAGGAAGGCTTTTTAGCACCGTGTTTATAGACATTAATTTGAAATAAAAACACCGTAACTAACAAATTATTTTGTCTGCGGGACTGAGACATGTTGAAATCTGCCTAGTACGCAAGAATTATTCGTGATATTTGCTCTTGCTAAATAGTGCTCAGCCTAATATAAATCTTTCTTGCTCGATTTCTTTTCATCATTTTTTATGGGACACATGTCTACAGAACGCACCAAATGACAAACAGTAAATAAAAATAATTTACGGAATTATTTTTTTGTAAACGTTCGATTTTAATTACTATAGTACAACTCCTGCGATTTAAAACAAGATTTTAATCATTACCTAAATCACTAGTTAAAGCATCTTGATCGTTTTTCTCCACCCTGCTGTTATAACTATGTCCGTCCTAGGTGAATTGCTATATTTGATCACCAATGTTTGAAATATAGACACGCACGCGCCTCTTTGTTACACGTTAACTTTATTACACAAATGAAAAACTTGCATGTCATGCATTACATGCCATATATGAATAAACCTATGCCGCATGTGTAAGCCAGTGGGAAAACAATTAACAGCACCCAGGTGTTGGCAAAAACGTTTGCTTCAGCAGACAGGCCGTGTCTCGCATAAAATAAAGTAGAACTCGGGGTGAGCGAATACTGGTTCGAGTCGAATAGTATTGCGTCATTAGGGAGTTTTAGATTAGGCGGCCCCAACTCTTCGGGGGAACCAAAACGTTAGGGCCCCATATTCTAAGACTCTCCATAGGCTCCCCACTGGAAAGGAAAGCAACGAGCTACTGGCTGATCTTAAAAGTGCAGAAGCTAGGGATCACGCTGTGCTATTCGATTTGAAGCAATATCCGCACACCCCTAGTACTAAAAACTCATTCTCGAATCTGCAACGAAAAGTCGTGTACTTTGATTTAAAAATATCAAAACAGGCTAATAAAACGAGTCATACTTCCGTCAAAAGAACACATATTATCATAAACCAGAATATTAAAACAGTGGTATAAACATTAACCTTATTACTGCGACGTCATTAACGCGCCGCGAAGCAAGGCGTGTCAGTACCGCGGCAACGTGCAGGTGCGCTGCTCGTTGGTCCAGCGAGGACTTTCCAAAGATCGGAACACGAGAGGGTGCTCCGACCTCTGCCACGTTGATGTCACGTTACCCGGAGCCGGCAGAGCGTCAACTCTACGTCCCAACATTTGTTCGGGATGGGATAGAATCTTAGACAAGGAGGTTTCATTGGGCGGCTTCAATGGGATGTTCACGACGCTGCAGTTATAAAGGGATGCTCCAAGCACCGAAGTGGAACTTCCAGGGTGCCTTGGTTGAAAATTAAAATTGCCTCTGTAAGCAAAGAAACAAAACATAATTGTATTTAAATAAGGGTAGCCCTTTTAACGTTTTTGGGGGCTTTGAACTCAACTCGTCAGAACAAGCTGCTTGTGTAAATCCGCTTACTGACGGTAAAAATATTAACACAAAAAAATTACAGCGAGAGATCTAGAAAAACTGACACCAATGGCAATAGAGAAGAAAAAGCAGCGATAGCACGCTGTGTTCCAATTCTTTTTTTTTTCTATTTTACAAAACAAAGCGACCGTTATTATGTCTGTAATGGATACTGCAATCTGAACGCGCTGGTAACGTAGAAAAACATTGTTCACACTGCTGCATGCTGACCCTGTAATAGAACGTAAACTGACGACAGCCAAGAATCTTAGTTGTATCAGCCGAACGAGAATCGTACAACAGGTAAAGTTTGTGCTAAATTATAATTCAGGGCACATCGGCACTTGGCATTATCTTACTCCATGAGTGTTGACTTCTTGACAAGCAAATACTTCTGCACTGCCAAGGAAGAAGTTGCATCAGCCTGAAAAGAAACAATTTGGTAACACATTTCTACGGAATTGCTGCAGTGTACCGCAGTACACAGCTTTGAAATCAATTTTGGTGGCGACGTGACTGACCTCTACACCATTAAGAAGACATGCAAGAAAGGCCGCTTCATTCAGTTTAAACTCAACAGGGCACTCGATGGACGGCCACAGGTCATCCTCAAGCTCGATAATCCTCAACGTAGGTTCATACTCCTGGTCCGCCTTGACGCCACCCTGCATTTCAAACAGACTACATGTAAATGCTGGTCAGGTCAGCAGCCTTTCCATTTTCAATCAAAAGTCAATCTACAGTACCCAAAACAGCTTGCACAGTTTTCAAAATAAACCAAACACCACCAATTGCGTCAATGCGGGCTGTTAGTAACTGGCCTTTTAGTACTATTTCAAGGAGTTGCATTAAAACGTCAGTTGTGAGAGTATCGTCTTCATAATGTCCCTTTGCCTCCTTTATATCATTTGTGTTTAATATGCTTAATCATATAGCACATCTCAATATCTTTAGTATTTCTAAGCATGTGCTGCCCTATGCCCTGTAGAATTCATTTCCCAACCCTCGAACCTTCCTCTGCTCGCGTTCGTGACGCCAGTCAGGTTCTGTCTATTATTTGCAGATTTCTGTGCAGGCACTTCATTTCTTGTTTAATTATGCACTTTCATTGGTCTTACCACACCGCCACTGCAAGAAGCTTTAATATAGCTGCGATGACCTAAGCTTATGAGGTCTAATAAAAACTAGATTTAACGAATCTTCGAGAAATTAAATGCCATCCTTTCATACATATTGTAGAGCAAATGTGCTTTTGCTCAACAATATCGAACGGCTCATCTCTTATTTATTTATTAATACTGTTCACCCGGAATCGGGTCGTTACAGGAGTAATGGTTACAAAAACATACAAAATACCGGTATGACGAAATGCACGCTCTTCAATCAGACGCGTAAAAATGGTCAAAACCAGTTACAGCACAGCAGTAACATACAGAGTAAAAAAAAAAAAAAGAACAGCAAGATTGATCGTTTAGGAAACATGAGTATAGAGTTAAATTACACAATTCTAGACTTCTATAGATGCCACTGTACAGTACATTAAATCATGTATGACAATATTATCACAGATAAGGCAATACAGTACCAACTCAACAATATGATCTAAGTAACAGTTCGGCATACAATTACGTTAAGGCTCGGTCGACAAAGTAAGCAGATTCTTCATAAAACCATCAACGCTATCACAATCAACTACGCTCTGTGGAAGATTATTCCAATCTAGGATTGTTCTGGGAAAGAAAGAGTACTGGAAAGTGTCATTTTTTGCCCTTTCCACCATAAGTTCCGCGGTGCGGCCTCTTCTAAGTGTTCTAGATTGGCGGGGCTGTAAGAACCTTGAAGTGTCAATGTTAAACAAATTATTTTTTAACATAAATAGAAATTTTAACCTTGCAGTTTTCCGCCGGCTAGAAAGAAGTGGCAGATCGAGATCTTTCAGCATACCTTTAACGGAGTCGGTTCTCTTATATTTAGCTAAAATGAACCTCGCTGCCATTCTTTGAACTTTTTCTAGATTATTAATTTGGTATTGTCTAAAGGGGTCCCATAGAATTGAGGCATATTCCAATGTCGGTCTTACTAGAGTTTTGTATGCAAGTAGTTTCGTTAACCAGCTACTATACTTAGTTTCAACTTAAAGTGGTACTATGGTGATTTTTAGCTACTTCAACTAACAATATTTTCGGAATCAGTGCCTTTACGCTTTCCGGTATGCTTTTAGTATCTCAAAATTAAGAACAGCTATATTGAAATCGGCAAGTGAAAATGATGCCAAAACCAACATTCAAATATACCGGCGCTTTTTAGTGCTTAGACGTCAGTGGAAGGAAGGCTTGCAGGTCAAGCAGGCAGCCTAGAAATGAACAATGCCGAGCACTTATTTTGTGCTTCTGCGAGGGTGCTAGAGTGAGCTTCCGACATATCCATTTGACGCCATGAAAGTGCTTGTAATCAGTTGGGAACAAAGTCTACAGTCCAGTTCTTGTACACCCTGCTAGGATGTACAAGAACTGGGAGGTGTGGCGACCCCGTCGGCCTCTTCATGGGAGCTGGGTGTCGTGTGGTCTAATAGACCTTATTCATTACTAGCGCCATCTCACAGCGGCCGCGAGTACTATCAGATGCTCAGCGACATCTTTGGGGCTTTTCCACCGCCCTTGCCCTTGTACGAACTTCACTCTCTCCACGCAGCGTTCGTCGTATATTCTCGTTTTAGAGTATTAGGTTGGTGTTAGCCGTTCGAGAAATAACATACGAATATTATCAAGCTGAAGTTTGTTTAAAGTGGTTTCACCCGCAGGGCGAAGCCGACCTGTTGGAAAGCAATCAAGCGCGACTGTCAAACACACCAGGCTGTCCAGGTTAGCAGCCAAAAGCCCGCTTTTATGCTTTCGTCTGCATCTTGAAAATGTTGCTCGAAATGTGAGTCACGTGATAATAATGATGCAGCGTAAAGTAAGCGAGCGTTCACCTTTGCCTTTCAACGCCGCTCTCTTTATACTGACGTGCGAAATGAAGTTGCTATACGTTGCCTATCTCTTCTGCACTTTGCATCAGGCGGCAATCCACTGTAGTACACCTGAATAAGGGGACTCGCCGTTTTTTTTGCGCGAGCGAAGCTACGATGCCAGCCAACATCAAGCTCCAAACAATTACATGGAAGAATAAATGCTCGCTGATGTTACAATTAAACATCAAAATCCCTTCATGCAATGATAGAAAGTTATATAGTTCAAAAAAAGGTTAGGGTTATAGATTATTCTTCTATAACAAAAATAAAACAAACAAAAAATTATAGAAGCGAGACTATGCAACTAACTGGCCAAACGGCATTTGCGCTTTGAATATAAGCTTTGGCCGCTCGCGCAAGTCACGCTTTTTCAAGAGGACGTGCAAAAAAAAAAGGATGGAACTTATTCTTTCTCACAACTGAGCAGACAAAAACAAACGAAGAATACGACCATTTCAGCCCCGAATAAAGCATCTCTGCTGTGACCGCAAGGCCTCTGACGCCCGTCGCATGGCCGCGCTCAGCCCCACAGCGCCCTCACCGGCCGCCATACGGCACATCTCCTCGTTCCTGGTACGCGTCTTCGATTGGTGTGTTTGGCGTCCTATGCTGCCCACACGCCAAAAGTGGTCCCCAAAGCGGCAACAAATGACGTCACAGAAGCCGGAGTGTCACGCTGTTCAATGTCGCAATCCTGGCGGTTGGTTGCAGAAATGCTAACGACAAGGTTGCGAGTAGCACAACCGAACGCGAATGTCGCTGTCGTCACGGCGTCCCAACTTCTGGCTGCCGAAGCTGCCGTGGACTGCCACACTGGAGAGCTACCTGAAGCAGAACAGACGTGTGACACATACACCGCAGCTGTTGCGACGCCGCCAGGATTGCAACTGGCGACAGCATGACACTTGTATGACGTCATGAGGCGGAAATCGAGGGGCGCTTTCTTGGACACGGTAGACACGAGTCGAAGATGCGTCCCAGGCACCAAAATTCTAGTACACCCTACCTCTGCCTTCAACTGACGTCACTTCTTCATTGCTGGCTGTTGACCCTTCACTTTAAAAACAATTTCAAAATTGCAAATTCAATAACCTCGCAAACATTTTTATTTTGGCCCAATATGAGGGTTACTATTTCAGCGATGTTTTTTGGCGAGTTTAGCAAATCTTCAGGCAAATCGGGAGCTGAGAAGAAATCGCCAGAGTACCCTTTTAAAGAGGTTAGCACACGAAAATTAAACTGGTAGATTATTCTTCAAATAGAATGCTCGTAGGCTACTTAGTATATACATCAAGTTTCGTTATTTCTAGAGCTCTAGTAATTGCAATAATTAATTTACGAATGTTAATAAATTTCGTATGGCGACCAGGCAATGCTGCTCAAGTTAGTCGCACCGTCGTGCTCATAAGCCACGTGATCATCATATTTAGTTGAATGCTCTCTAATTATAGGCTCGCCCAAGCTCGCCTCGCCATGGTACGATCGCACACTCTCACGCTACTTGGATATTCCATCGTCCACTCTTGCTCTTGTCTGCTTCTCCTCTGACCTTCCACCTTGCGCGCACTTAAGAGATTGTCGCGGACGGCCGCAAGTTCGTCCGCGACGATCTGATCGTCGTCGCTGGAGCTGGTCGCAACGGGACCAAGTCAGGAGGATGGTGACCGAATGGGCTAGCACACACCAGCTCGGAACACGTAGAGCGGAAGCTCGCGCTGAAGTGCCCAGGATCCTGAGCTCAATCCCCACCCCCGTCCGTTTCGATCTGGATGAGCAACATACCGGCGTGCGGTCGTGTATCACTACTGCGTGATGCACGTTAAAAACACCAAGCTAGTGGTTGTACTGCACTGGCTAAATTTCCAATCTACAGCGAGTTACTCGTCGCAACTTTGAAATGGCTGACCAACTACACGCTGTCTAAATATTCACACAACCCCAATTATTATTGGGACGAAGTCAAAAAGATCAGTCTCCAACAACATCTTTTAAAAACAATCACTCTCGTGGCGCTGCGATCAGTGTCAAAAACTTCGACGAAGTGAGCTATGCCATAGACGTCACCATCTCGAAACCGCGTGCCCGAAACGCAGAAGGTAAACGTGGAAGCTCAAGCGCGAGACGCCGGGAGAGAGCGAAGCGTTGTGATAGAGGAGGGGGGGGGGGGGGAGAGAGCCAATAGTGTATGCGCACTGGGCGCTTTTGTCACTGGCTCACGCCGGGAGAGCTAAGCTAGCGAGTGCGTGCAAGGAGACACCGCGCATTGGGCCGATGACGTCACCAACCCAACAAACATGGCGGCATTTTCGAATGCGGCGGATCCTAAGGTCCTCCACATGCGCCGAGAAACTGAGGGAGAGGAGGAGACGAGAAGGGACGCCAGAACGCCGAGCTCTGGTTGGAAGAATTAGTGACTAGACTCAAAAGCTAGCTGCCTTTGTCTCCACTGCACTCGTGGAATATGGCCGCGAGCGCAGCTGGCCAAGTAGGCAGCGCGAGCGTGGCCTAACGGTTATCCTGTCTGCCTCCCACACGAAAAGCCAGGGTTCGATTCCTGGGAGCGACGCATCTTTTGTTATTCCTGCAATTTAGTTTCCTGGTAAAGTCGAGAATCCTGTTGCTTCTTCGAGGTCCGAATGTTCTACGCGTCGAACC